GCGTGCAATCACCACCCCACGCTGTGTAGCATGTATTAAGGATGCGCAGCCCGAAACCAGCGTGACGTAACATGCACACACGGAATTTAATGCAAAGTCGGCCCCTGCGTCCAGTATTACCACCTCTAGCTCAGGAGGGGACCGGGGGAGGCGTGGCTGACACCATGGAAGTCTTTTCCCACTGCAAACTGTTAGGAGGGACCAAACGGCTAGTATACAAGCAGCAGTCGCGCTCACAGTAGGCTATCGATCGGCCTACACGCGAGCGAACACATCGTGCCAAACAATTAAGCAATAATTTAAAATTCAAGCCACAGTCAGCCGTCGAGTCACTAGCCAATCATGCCGGTAGAAGAGCGAGGACAGAAGCTGATTGGCCCGATGGACATAGTTTACACGCATTTGTAACCCTAAATATGTTGTATCTATTACATTCAGAGACTTCTGCTTTTGCCCACTTCTTGTCGTGTTCTTCCTTTGGGGACTCACACAAGGAATTATTGCGCGGTGATATCTCGGCCTGGGCTACCGTTACAACACAAACAACTTCTCTTCACCATTTGGTCACCTCCAAAGTTCTGCGGAGAGGATGTCGCGAAATTTCAATGGCTGCAAAAAATTCCATACGATCAAAAGAGCGTTCGTAACCTTTGACAAACATTTTTGGGAGAGTTTGTGACACCTTTGTTCGGTCTCATCTATAATAGGACATACAAGCGTGGTGGCCATTGCTATAAAAGGACAAAAAGTACAGAGCCGTGCAAAAAACGGGTTGAAAGGTTAAAAAAGCCCTATGCTACCTGGAAAGGCTGAACTGTTTTAATCTATTCCCTCTGTGTCCTTATCCTGGTTTGCAAGATAATATATATGGCTTTGAACATGGACTGAGCCCTGAGGACATGTTTCAGTGGAACCTTCGCTTTGGTTTTCTGCTGCAAAGAATAACAGAGAAATGGAATGATCGCCATCAGTCAGTCATGGAGACAACGTCCCTGTAGCTGCTCAAGAAACGCTTGGATGTTTATGTTAGGACCCGAGCCTGGTAATTGTAATTGGCACGAGCACTGAGCTGGCCCAGCTGTTGTCCCGGAGGCCAACACGAGAGAACAAAAGGAGTCAATCGGCCAGGAGGAGAAGTCAGAGAATACGTCAAGGCAAGAAAGTGCAAGTCAAGCAAGTCACTCTTACAAAATGCGTTAGCGACAGGGGACCAATCAGCTATGACAAAAAAATCGATAGCCACGGCGCGTTATCATGACAGCGGCGTGGTGTTGCGCTCGAGCCCTTTTGTGTAAGATGAGTAATCGTGGGAATCGGCGCATTCCCAAAAATTTATATGTGCCTCCTGCTTCTCCTTGACAGTCTGAACCCTAGCTAAATACACCTTGAATCCGAGCTAGTACTTAAAAAAGAATGCTACCGTAATCGAGTACTATTACAGTAATGACAACTTTCATGGTGCGTGTACAGCTGTATCAAACGAACTGGCATGTCAACGATGGAGTTTTAAAAGGCAAGTGTGATTAAACTCCCGGCTTCCGGTGGGACCTCGATGGCTTAGTTGACTAGGACGTTGGCTGTAATAAAGCCTTCCCCTTGATGGCATGAGTTCGAATCCCACCGAGTTTTCCGCAATTCGGTCAAAGGAAGTAAAAGGCATAGCCTATTGTCTTTACCAAATAAACTGAAACCCCAGGCCAATATCGGTGGTCTTCTTACTACAGCTAGTCAACGGTCCTGCTTACGAAGGCACGGACAATCCCTCATAGTAGGAGCCAGAAAGGGTATCCGAAGCCAATGCTGGCTCACACCATCTGTATAGCTAACCATGGTTGCCGGACCTGACGTAGGCGCCAGATTAGGAATGATTTCGCTTGCTTTGGCGGCCTTGAGTGGCCTCCTCACAATCTCTAGACCCGGATTTGTCCAGCGTGCATTTGGACCCCAGCTGGGTTCGATGATCGTGTAAGGTCGACCGCCGCAATCAGTGATGTCCACCATTTGCTCGAGAGCAGGGACGGTAACTGCGGCCAGGTATAGTGAAAGTAGACGAGCCGCCATCTACCCCAATCCAAACCCTCTCCTCTGCTTCAAACGATGACAAAAAAAGTCGAGATGAACGAGCAGGAAACGGGAGTAAGCCGCTTTCTCCAGATATGGCCAAAACACCGCCTAACTTAGTCTTTAGTGACAGTAGAATTTGCGCGGGTACTACTGCACTGTCTACCCTCACTCACCTATAGTAGGTGCCTAGCCAGACTCTAGTAAGCCAGAGATGGTACTGCCACTACCACTAATGTTATTTCTAATACTACTAACTAGGGTGCAGCTGAGTGATTTTATTTGCTGGTACTATTACTGTAGTGTAAGTCAGAAGTGATGCTGATTCAAGTCAGCATTGGGCTCATAGCCCCTCAATCTCAACAGGAAGTGTAGTAGTACTGGTGCTAGCACTGGCGCCACCATTTATCAGAGGTGACGCTGATGAAGTCAACGCTAGGGCTCATATACCCTTGGTGTCAACAGGGAGTGTTAAATTGGATTTAAACTAGTTCGAGAAAGTACATGCTTGGGGTCCTGGGCACAGCAGGGCTTGCCTTGGTTTCCGCTTTCTCAACTCCATGCATCGAGCTGTGCACTCTTCTACTAGGTACGGACTAAATGAGCTGCTTCTATAGGTACGTGCCTATGCTAAAAGAGCTAATTTCTAGTAACTATGCTTACTAAAGCCAGTAGATAGTATATTGTGGCATAGATGCGTACACCGATCTGTCAGAGGACCACTCGTCCCTCCATTTTGCCATCGGAGCTCTCTCTCTCGAGCCTCCACCGCAAGGCGGCTAAGATATAGGCAGAAGGACATTACCAGCAAAGACAGGGGACACTAGGAAGGCCTCCACCGCGAGTCGGCTAGCATATAGGCAGAAAGACATTACCAGCAAAGACAGGGGACACGAGGAAGGCCTTCTCTGCCTTGTTAGGCGTCATCGCCTAGTGATACCCAACCCCAGTGTGGCCGCTGAAATTGC